TTGAGTAATTTAATTAATATAGATATTAAAACTTTGATTAGTTTTTCTAATTAATATTTGAATAAATATGTTTATATATGTTTGTAGCAAAAAATGTATTTACAAATTATAAATTATAAATTTAATTTGTTTATATAATCTCTCAAACTTGTATCATTTATGTCATATGATTAAAACATATGGGTTTAAAAAATATCTTTAACCATTTAAAAGAAAAATGTAATTAAAAATTAAAATTATAAAATTTTGGTGATATGATCAAAATTGTATTTGAATAATTTTGAGTTATATAAAAATTATTTTTGAAAATGTTTAAATAATTCGTGTACTAAGAAGGGTATTTTGGTCTAAAAAATTAAAATTCAAACTTAATGGTGAACTAATGATTTAAATAAATAAAAATGAATTCTCAATTATATAAAAAAGATTAGTGTAATACATATTTTAATTTCAAGAGAGGTTCACATACGTTTTCAAAATTGAGGGAAGGTTTCCATAAATTAGGTAAAGTAAAAGGGTTATTAATGTATTTTACTAAAAAATAAGGTCCAAACTAAAAAGTTTTGAGTTTGATCAAGAATTTTTTTTGTCTCAATAAAATTGATGTAGTTGGTAAGGAATTAACTAAATAAAAAAGACTCATAAGTTTGAATCCTTCTAATAATGCAAGAACCTTATTAATAGGTGATATGTAAATATATCTGTAAGTACTCTTTAGATCTGCAAGTATGCCCTAACCTTGATAAACTTCAAAGACCTATTTTTTTTTATAAAAATAAATAATTTTTTTGGTCTGAAATTATATCAACTATCCATATTTTTATATTTTGTTCAAAAAAAGGATTTTTTTTAAAGGTTTGTTGGGTCTATTCTTTAGTAAGAATAAGATGCTAACAAATGAAGAAAACATATTTATATTATTTGAGAAAATATATAATATTTTTAATTAAATTAAGAATAATAAGATTCTGATTTATTTTTCAATAAAATAATTATAATCGGAGGTGAGGCAAACCAAAATTGAATGTTGTTCTCACTTAACGAGTGGAAAAAATGACAACTGACTAGCCAATGCTAATTCATCTAAAATGAGTGAACCGGTTGAGTTATAAATTGAACTAATTCATGATTTTTTTAATTATTGTTACGAAGTAGTATAATTATTGATTTACTTAATTAATTTATGGTATCGGACTGTCAATTGATTATTTTGAGCTCAATTTGTGTGGTTATATATATTTGATTGACAAAATATTTAAACTACAGGTATCCAAGTCATATCAAGTAAGAAGAAGCAAATAAAAATATGTTTTTTTAACCTTGATAAATAAAAATATGTTTGAGAAATACTTACATGCTCTCACAGTGTCACATCGTCTAAACTATGTTCACCGAAAACACAATATTATATTAATAATTATTTTATTATCTATAATTTGGTTGGTTTTGATTTCATGTAGATCAGTATGGCAAAATTAATCAAAGTGTATGTTGAATGAGAGTCATATTATTAGCTTCGAAAACTTTTTCTCTTACAAATTAACAAATTATTAGGAACTTATAAGGATTCCATGAAAACGAAAAAAAAAAATCATAAGGACTTGATTAAAAATGTGATAAATTGTGAGGGCTTTCATGTTACTTTTTTCTTAATTTTATAACAACTTATAGAATAATTAATATCACTGAATTTGTTCAAGTCCAATGCTATCCGTAGTTAATAGGTATATTTATATCATATAAGTAAATCAAATTAACATTTTTTGGGTTGAAAAATCAAATAACAATTGATTCCGTACAACCTCACCTATGCCTAAGCTCAATAAGAATCCAAAATTCAAGATGATCAATACGCAAACAATAAGGTAAACAAATATAATATTAAAGCAACAAAAGAGATTTACTTCACATGCCAATCCATGATCAAAAATATATAACAGTGAATATATTCAGAAAATGTGTAATATAGAAGAAAGAAAAGGAAAAGAGATCACTAATTAGAGTCACAATTACTCAGTATTTAGAAAAGGAAAAGAGATCACTAATTAGAGTCACAATTACTCAGTATTTCCGCTCCCCTCACATAAAAATATATGAAATAAACTAAAAATTCATAAAAATTTAAATCATACTAATTACATCTTCACAATTATATTATGTCTTTTTATCTGTTTAAAGTATACTTTTCAAATGTTAACTTATTTTATATTTAAATACTGTCATGAAATTTAATATCAATAATTTATTTACTTTTACACATAATGTTTTAATTAATATCCGTCCAACTCTGGTCAAAAAAGTTAATCTTCAATTAGTTCTTCAATCAATTTAATGAGAAGTTGGAATTTCAAAACATTGGTTTAGCTTGAGCTAACAAAAAGATACAATATTAAAGCAATAAGTTAAAAGAGAGTTATCATCACATGATAATCCATTGAAAAAGGTCTGGTAATTAACCCTAACACCAAAGCATATTTCTAATTATAACCAAAAGGTGATTCAACTACCAAAAAAAATGAAAAATGTGTAATTTTTAATGAAAAGCAATTATATCTAAAATAAAAATAAAATTGCCATAACATAAGTTTAATAGGAGAGTTCCATCATAAAAGCTCCTTAAAAACCAAGCTATTAGAAACCACATCAATCACTAAACCGATCAAGATAGTAAGTCAAAATAACTGAGTTAGACCGAAGTCAGCTCATGGGTCAAACTGGTAAGAAATAAAAAACTTTAAAATAATTTAAAATTTCATCATACCATTCAAGAACTAAATATCAATTCAGTATCCTAAGTCACTAATAAAATAATCATATACTTAGAATTTCCTTCCAACTTTCTTTCAACTCCTTTGAGAAATTAAATCCATAATATCATACTATCAAAATCACTAAATATTCATCCGAGCAAAATATCAAAATGGATATATAATAACAAAATATTCCTCCCTACAATAATTTAATCACTAAGTAATACTTATCAATAGCTTCAAGAAATAAAACAATTTTTTCATCTAAAAAAGCTTTTTTATGTAAAAAAAATACAAGCAACTGAGTTAACCTACCAAACTAGTCGAGTTACCCTTCCAGTTAATATAGGTCACCCTGGGTCAATTTAACCTCGATTTTTATGCTCAACTAGACCAGATACTTGACTAGTTCGCTATTTTGAGGTTGAACGAGTCAGTCCAGTTCGAATTTTAATTCCATGCTAAAAACAAAAAAAATATCATGAGAAACTAAATAACTTTTGTCAAAACACACACTCATTATACCCTACAAAAAGGATTTAAACTCACAATATTATACTTAACAAAAATTTAAGAGGGGCATTTGATGTCATTTTTCGATAGGCAGGAAAGAAACACGACTAAGAAAAATGTCCATGTAATTGGAGAAGGAGGAAAGAAAGAAATAAAAGAATTGGAGTCATCATTCCTCAAATAATTTCAATCGCTCTCTCTCATAATACATGGCTCCTGTACTCCTAAAAACTACTTGTTTGTTTGTTTATTTATAAATATTACTTATAGGATGAGTTGAATCAAAATTCAAAGTTCTTCGTTTCCCTAAAACCCTTGATTGAAGATATATAAATTAAAAGGTATACTAAATATATATAGATTCATATAATTTCTATAAACTGTACTTTTCTTGTCCTTAACATAAGGCCTATTTAACTAAGTTGATTAATTAAAAAAATTAAGTAAATTAGTTAATTGTAAAAAATATGATATGTTTTTCTTAAAATACCATAATTATTTTTTTTAAAATACCATAATCATTTTTCTTAATATTGATACTTCCTTTCTTACTTGTTATAGTAAAGGGAATATCAATGAAAGTAATTTAAAAAAATTGATAAATGTAAGAAATATGATTTATATTTAAGACCAAGATTAACTCAATAATCAGGTCTTAAATTAAAGACTGGAAGAGCATTAATAAAATCCTCAAAATCATACTTATATTGTGTTAACTTAATTTAGATTTAGATATTATATGCTATGAACTTCGATAAAAAAAAAAGAATATGATAAAATTGTTGACATTTATTTAAATTAAACCCCAGCACATCTTGCAACGTAAGTTAGGTCTTAGAAGTTAAATTTTTGTTTAATCGCTAAACGTCGAAGTAACCAGAATAAACTTTTGAAAATCAAAATCCAGTGGTCATTTTTTTGGCCAAAAATCCAGTGCTCATGAAGAGTGCATCCACGTGCAAGCGGAAAAGCACCAAAAAAAGAAGGAAAAATCCCAAAAAAGCCCTTGAAATATAGAAAATTCCTAATTGGGTCCTATCACTTTTTCATAGTCAGGAATATCCCATGAGAAAGTACCTTGTTATTAATTACAATTAATCATATAATCACTAAAATAATGTTAAGCGTTACCTAGATTCATTTAGAGAATAACTACTTACTTTTGCTTAGCTATGCATGTGAAGGTGCCTTGTATTAACTACAACTAATCATGTAATTACTAGAATAGTGTAAGTATTACCTAGATTCGTTTAGAGAATAACTACTCACTTTTACTTAGTCAGGACAAAGTTGTCAATTTTTTTTAATTTTACAAATGACAGATTGGATTATTAACCTTTTCTGTCATTCACATAATTTCAGGACCCAATCGCAAATTTCTTATATTCTAATAACTTTTTTGGGATTTTCCCTAAAAAAAAATAAAAAGATATAATATTCCAAATGAAAATAATGGTAAGCAAAGTGGGAGACTAACATGGCCGTGAAATATTTGACCTTGTTTAGACCCCATTAAATACTGCGACATCCTCACCACATTGCCAATCCACGTCAAGCCAAGTGCGTGTTCACCACATGCCGACATCCTCGTCGGCCAAAAGTAAGGAGCGTGAATGACACGACACGAAACAGAGTGTAGATTGCCGGTGATGGTGAATAGTAAACCAGTCACGTCGTGAGGGGCCACCATGTGAAATTGAAAGATCACTGTTCATATTACTCTCTCTACTCCCACTCGCCCAGCATTCCCAACCTTCTTCCTCCTTCTCTCTCTCTCTCTTCGTCTTATTCTTCTTCATTCATTCATCTTTGCTTTTTTACGTCCCATCAATAAGTCCCCTCTCTTCACATTCACACACCTCTCTCTCTCTCTCTCTCTCTCATTTTCCTCCTTCCTTTCTTCTTCCTCCTCCTTTCTCTCTCACGAAAACCCTTTTCCCGTGAAACTCCCCACCTCCAGATACGCAAATCTCAACCTATTCGTATTCCTGATTACACCCCACAACAAACAAAATCCGAAAGTCCTCAGTTTCAGCTCCAAATCGTCTCACTCGTTCGTTCTAGATCGTGTTTATATATATATAACTGGTTTGAACAATTGGATCGGTTTGTATATTGATTGCGGATCATGGATTCGATATCAGGAGGAGCTGGGCCGAGTGCATCCGACCCGAATAGTGCTGCTGTAACGGCTGTTCCGCAAGCGGAGGGGTCGGCAGGAGGGGGGCCGACGCCGAGTCGGTATGAGTCGCAGAAGCGGAGAGATTGGAACACGTTTTTGCAGTACCTGAGGAATCACAAGCCGCCATTGACGTTAGCTCGGTGCAGTGGAGCTCACGTGATAGAATTCTTGAAGTACTTGGACCAATTCGGGAAGACTAAGGTTCACATCACTGGGTGTCCTTATTTCGGGCACCCGAACCCGCCGGCGCCGTGCGCGTGCCCGTTGAAGCAGGCTTGGGGGAGCCTCGACGCGCTGATCGGACGCCTCAGAGCCGCCTACGAAGAGAACGGTGGACGGCCGGAGTCCAACCCGTTCGGCGCCAGAGCCGTCAGGATTTACTTGAGGGAAGTCAGGGAAGGACAAGCCAAAGCTAGAGGGATCCCTTACGAAAAGAAGAAGCGAAAAAGAAGCACCGTAACCACCACTCTCGTGACCACCAATGTGTCGGCAGCGACCGATATCCCCGGTGCTGCCGCCTCCTCAAGCGGTGGCGGTGGCGATGGTGAAGGAAGAGGAGTTGAAACCACCGGTGGTGGTGGTGGCGCTAGTAGCGTCGTAGTTGCTTCTAATACTCCAACTACAGTTAGTACGGCGACGACTACTACAGTATAAGATATCTAGTAGTATAATTCTGATAAATTGTCTCACTTCTTCCCTACCACTATCTAAATTTATTCTTAATGAAATTATTTATAATCCATCACTGCCTCATCAATCCCAAATCTAAGGCCATTTTCTCAATTCTTGGATGTCTCTGGGTTCATCCCTCTCTCTCTGCATATACACGCACACATATAAGCTAATGATTATTATATGCGTGTGTATTGATTTTTTGTTTTAGATGGGAGGGAAAGATCCAAAAGGAAATATGCTTTCATTTTCAAGTGTTGAACCTATTCTTCGTCTTTCTTTCTCCTATATATATTTTTTTCTTTTCTATTCCCTGTGGCTGGTGAATTCTCTCTACATTATATTTTCTGCCAATATGATGCCTTAGTTAGGGGGAGCACATCACTCTTTGATGATTCAGTATTTGCTTTCATTATTATTATTTTGACATTTCGTTTTTGTCTTCACCTCCTCATCTCTCCAATCAGTGAGCAGCACTTGGATCACAATTCGCTGAAAGTGAGAAGCCAAAAAAACAAAAGATATAGGATTTGACCCTTCCACTACATAATTTTCATTCCGCATTAATGAGTCACCACCCATGTATTAATTAATTAATTAAAATAAACTTTTTCTGGTATTTTCTCTTTTTTTTTTCCTGAGATAATCCTGGGGACTACCCTTCTCTGCAACTGTTCATCTGGTCCCCAAGGGGCTCAAATCTATGTAGTTGTATAGATCTGATATCAATCTATGTATCTTAGTAACGACGCACACGTGCGTCTATCATTTTACATGGTTTTTTCGCACTCCTCCTGTTTCAGGTGCTTATTGCTTGCTACGTTACTGTAGTAGTAAGTAGTAAACTTTATTATTACAGCGCCATTGTTAAAGATCCTTTCTTTACAAGTTTTTTGTTGGTTCCAGAATTTTTAGGTTTGCTTTTGTTGTTGTTGTTGTATGGGGTATTAAGATTTGGAGGCTTAGCTTATTCTTGTTCGTCTTTGGATCCAGTAGGTTTTAAGATTTTAATTCATTCATCACATTTCCCCCTTCCATATCTCTCTCTCTCTCTCTCTGGGGGATAATTCATTCATCACGTTTTTGGATCCAGTAGTTTTTTTTGCACTCCTCCTGTTTCAGGTGCTTATTGCTTGCTACCTTACTGTAGTAGTAAGTAGTAAACTTGATTATTACAGCGCCATTGTTAAAGATCCTTTCTTTACAAGTTTTTTGTTGGTTCCAGAATTTTTTAGGTTTGCTCTTGTTGTTATTGTATAGGGTATTAAGATTTGGAGGCTTAGCTTATTCTTGTTCGTTTTTGGATCAGTAGGTTTTAAGATTTTAACTCATTCATCACATTTCCCCCTTCCATATCTCTCTCTCTCTCTCTCTCTCTCTGGTCGATAATTGGGATCAAATGGTTTTATCATTTCAAATGTCCCAAATAACACACTCTCTCTCTCTCTCTCTCTCTCTCTCTGTGTGGAAGTGGAAGAAAAGAAATACCGTCAACGGCAAGGCTACTCTGATTATGTTTGGATAAGGTCTTAGATACAAAGCCAATATTAATATGTTTGTATGTGTTTAAATTGATTGTGATGAAAAAAAATGTGGAGGTAAATACAACCATAAACTTATGCTCATACTTACAATCTTCGTTTATCGGAAAGAAAGGTACCCACTTCACACCTTCTTTGGTTTCAAGCATACAGCCTCCTGTTTGCAGGAGGTTAGGAATGCGTGTTGAAGTTGACATATGAGGGGCCAAAAATGAAAAGATATCCAAAAATCAAAATTAATTTTCATGTTTTACAAATTAATAAAAAAATAAACAAAATTTTAAAGGAAGTCTAATTTGTGACATGGCGGGTAAGCACAACTGCTTGCTCCCCGGGGGTGCTTGCCCTCAAATTTATCTGGTCGGAGGTGCGAATTTAGATCTAGCAAAAAGAATTAACACCTCAAAACATGGAGAATCAAAATTTAAATTCATAGGAAAAACTATTCATATTTAATACCTGATAGTATTTCGAACAAGCCTTGAATAAGAATATACGTATGCTTAATCAAAATATACAGGGAAAAGTAGCATTCAATACTCTGATCTTATTTCAGGCTTATTTGGATTGATTTATAAGTAGCATTTCAAACATGATTTACAGAATACGATGTAAGTATGTGAGGAAAGTTTTATCTCGGCTTACGTGAACTTGTTTAAAAGTCCGTTTTGAACGGAGCTCCAAACAAGCCCTTCCCAGATGCATCCACCACACTCATCTTATTTATAATGCATCTAGCATCTTAATGTTTTTTTTGTTCTTACAGCATCTTAATCTTATTTAGTGTATTGGATGTAACTCAAAATAATATCGGAGTGTTGGATATACTAGAAAAATAATATTAGGATATATGTTGGATGTATCATAAATATAATAAGATTAGGATGTTGGATGTAGTTGAAAAATAAAATCAGGAAGTTAGATGCTACTTTGCCCAAAAATAAATATGGAGCTTCTTTAATTCATTTATTTATTTATATTTAATTCAAGGAGCATGTCCTAAGGGTTTAAAATTACAAACGAGATATTTACGACGTTCTACTTAAATATGTGGAGAAAACATGGTTCTAAGAGATTAAACTGAGATGAAAAGAGAAGTTAGATCCCTCTCTTTCTCACTCAGAAAATACCTCGCTAGTTATAATTGGCATTTCGTGCTGTGAAAACATCACCTATCAAAAGGAATAAGCTGCAAAGATCCATGAGGAGAAAAAATGGATCTTTTGTGTTGATGTTCCTATTTTTTTTTTTTTTAATATGTGGGTAACCAACCATCTTAGTGCGAAAACGGCCACTAGCCAACTGTTTCTTGTGTTTTAGATGTTTGTATATTGTTTAATTAATTATTGCATGGACGTTTTTAAGCCAGCTATATATGATTTATTTTGTATTTGTTAATTATTATAGCATAGACCCCACCGGCCGCTTCGAAACAAAATAATATTTCCGGATTTCCATTTCGTATTTTGGACCCATTTCGATTACATTTATAATTTATCCTTCTTCCAAGTATGATAATAATGTAGTGGAAATTATTGCTTTGGAGTACTTTTTGTTTGGTTCTTTATTTTACTTGCATGCTTTTTTTGAGGAAAATGTTTTTTGGCCAAACTTTTTCCGAGGAAATTTAATCTATGGATGATGTACATGTTCATAAATTTATTTTTTATTTTTTAATTTTATCTCTCTCTCCCCTCTCTCTCCTTCTATATATACATAGATGAAAAATGAGCTACCATACTTTTGCATTTATCAGGGAACTTTCGCTTTCTGGCCTTTTGTTGAGCCACATAATTTCATATAGCCCACTTTATTTCTCACTCTCGTCTCTCTTTTTTCCTTTATTATGTGCGGTGGCCACTTTAAACATTTGGATTTCCAAAAAGTCAAAAAGAAAAAAACATATAAGATATATCCTTATTCTTATATATTATGTAATCCTTTTTAATTATAAATATGTATTTATTTATATGCACGAATGTTTCGCCGCTCATCCCTCTTCTTCCTCCTCCTCCTTTATCTACAATAGCACATTACACAGAAAGCATCCCCTCTAGACTTTACCCCCACAACAGTGACCCATGAACAAAATCTACCAACTGTTAGGAAGACATGTCACTTTGTGAATATCCATCTCTTCATGGAAGCCCTAATGTTAGGGGCATAAATGACTACAAAAACTTGTGATTAGTGATGAAATTTAATAACAAAATTTTTATTTAGCGACATAAATTACTGGCAGATTGAAATTTGGTGGCTAGTTCATCACTAATTTAACAACAGAAAAATTTCGCTGGCAATCCGTCATATAAATTTGGTGATGAAATTTTGTCTGTAATCCACGGCAATGAAATAATTTTCCACAACTAATTCTATCAGTAATAAGCTCTCTTTTTTTGTAGTGAATAAAAAAAGATGACCTATATTCCAAAAGACTCATCTATTGGGTGGGAGAATCCTTAACACACACACACACATGCCTGTGTCTGTGTACATATGCATTATTATCTCAGCTCCCTGGTTGTTTTCTTTTTATCCTGATCACGAGTTACAGAATGTGGGACAGGGAAATCTGAGTAGCGTTAAGTGCGAAAGGAGCAATGTCACAAGGTTTTGAGTAAGGGGCAAAAGGATCTGAGTAGGGTTCTGAATTTGTTGCCTCTTACAATTTGTCGCCACATAGAATAGCATTCATTCATCAGTCCTCTTGCAGTAGTCTAATCTGGCCATGCCTTCATACTTCATTTATGAATCTCCTATATCACTTCACACAGATATATGCTTTTTCATTTAAGAGAAGGGACCGCTCATAAATTATTTTTCTGCTGTTTGGTGGTCATTTCTGTGGGATTGGGACCAATATCTCCAAGACTCCAGCGTTTGTTTTAGAGAGGGTTAATATTATTATCAGTCTTTATATATAGACTGATTGAATTTTGGTTTTGGTCCTTGTAGTTTCAAATTGTTAGTTTTAATTTGGTTTCTATAGTTTCATAAGTACTTGGTTTGAGTTTAAACATATAGGAATCAAAATCAAAACTCATTAAAAGTATAGGGACCATTCGTTAAGTTTAGACCAAAAAGTTGTAAAAGTATAGAGACCAAAACCAATTATTTAAAACTATAGGGATTAAAACCAAAAATTGATCAAATTATGAGGCCATACGATAGTGTTAGCTCTTATCAGTATACTGTTTTATAGTATATTGAGTCAGATTTGAGTATTATTGAATCCTATTAAAAGTCTAGTTCTTTGGGTAGTGCAAGGAAATACACGCAAAGGCAGGGAAATTACTGAAAAGCCCCTATTTGGAAAACATTTGACTTCAAAGGACTTAAATTGAGCAAGTATAACTCATCTCTGTTTTGCACATAATTAAAAATAAGTTACATAAAGATAAAGCCAAAAGTGAGTTATAACTGAGTTTTTAATGAATTTAAGTTAGCTTTAAATAATAAATATTTTAATGGGAGTTTTTTGAGAATGTTTTGTAAAGTTTTTTATTAAACCATCTCAAGTGCACAAAATGATAACTCATTACTAACAGAATTAGTGATGGAAAGTTATTCTATCACTAATTTCTGATGGATTGCTGATAAAAATTTAGCAATGAAATTTTTTGAGATAAGATTTGGCTCATTAAGCTTTAAGCTGATGCAAATTTCTTGTTTTTTTATTTTTATTTTCACTGAAAAATCATTTTGAAAAGTTGCATGACCAG